CATTGGGCATATCTAGCCCCAGAGGTGGCTGCCTCAGCCTCTCTGAGCAGGGATTTTCCGCCATGAACGAAGGAAGCCATGGAGGCACTGCCTTGGGAAGGACGTTGAGACCAAGACCGGGGGGCGCCTGGCGGCTTCCTCAGCCCCGGGCCCTCGGTCCTCACAGGGCGGCAAGGACCACCGTGGAATCCGTGCCCGACAGCCCGACGGCTCAGCTCGCCCTGAGTGGCGAGCACGCCCAGGCCTTCCCTGGGTTCCATCGTTTCCTGCTTTCCACAAAGACTCTGGTGACACGGGGGGTGGGGCGGGGGGCAGAGAAATGAATCGGCCTGTTCTTAACTCCAGTCCCAGAAGCATTTACACTGGCTTCCAGCCCTGCCTCATTCACGGGACCTGAACGAAACCTCAAACCAACAGCGTTCATTATGTCAGCTCTCCACACACACTTAGCAAGAGGAGGGCAAGGAGAAGGGAGGTCGCTGCGGAGTGAGCACGCTTCCTCCAGAGACCCGGCTGCACTCCAGGCCGGAAAGCTCCCAGGCGCAGTTCTGGAGAGGCGCCCATCCCTGCGACGGCGTCCCCCGAAGCCGGTCCACTCACCGAGGAGAGCCAGGCGTTCCGCCCAGGTTCAAGGGCAACGTGGCAGTCTCCGCGTGGCCAGTAGCAGTGTTGCACATGTCAAGTGGCCACTGCGGGGGCAGGGATCCGAGCACCCCTCTCCCAGATGACCACTCTAGCCTCGCCTTGGAATACCCACACCGAGTTGCCCGTGGCCCAGCATCCGATCTTAGCAGCGTGCAGCTGGGGGGTCTGCAGGTGGTTCCTTGGCACTGACGAGCCACAGGGCCAGCCTTCCAAACTGCTCCTGCAGGACTAGCCTGAGGGTCCAGTGGCTCAGGGCACCAAATCCCACGTGGCCACACGACATTCGAACTCCAGTCCTAGTGGCCTGCAAGCTATTCAGGCATGTGTGTGTGCGCCCAGAACCCGACAGGACGGAAGCGAGGGGGGACCAGGGTGACCATGTGGCCATGCACCCTTCAGGGCTGATCTCTCTCTCTCTCTCAAGCATATTCTCTGGCAATTAGACAAAACGGACAAAATAAGGTGACGGGGGTTCTGGAAACTCACAGCGGCTACGGCTCTACCTGGACACCGTCACCACAGGTCAGCTGACCTCTGAGCCCCACCGTCAGTCCTCCTTCCTGTACAGCCAAGTGTAGTCACAGAGCGTCTGGACGCCCTGAAGTTAGGCAGGCCTCCTCCCAGTAAGGGCACCCAAGCACGAATGGTCTTAGCAGATATCTCCAAAGAGCAAGTTTTGGTTCAGAAGAGAGGCAGCGTGAATAACTAGGAGACAGCCCCGGGTTCCAGATGCCCGTGTGTGGCCTGGAGGAGTCCCTGCCGGCACCTTCGACATGCACGTCGGCTCAGACACAGTCCCCCCAGGTGTCGCTGCGCTCGACCCCTCCCCTAGCCTGTGGCTGGGATGCCAGCAAAACCTCAGCCGGCACTGGTTGCTGAGCACCTGCGTCATGGCCACCAGCCTTGGGGTCAGGCGCTTACCTGCAGGAAGGTGGGCCGCGGTTGCCATGGAGATCTGGGCCCGGCAGAAAGTCTTGCTGTCCAGCAGATCTGACAACAAGGAGACAGGGCGTCAGGCCCCTCCGTGGAGAGGGCACGGGGCTGCCATGACGCGACCTCGCAGGCGGGCGTTAGTTACCTACTGTGCTGCCGTAGCTGGTGTCATACAGGTAGTTTTCTTCTTTCCAGGAGCTCATGACGGAAGGGTCTACAACACAGAGCGGGCCGTCAGACATCGTGGCTCCCTGCAAGGCACTGCTCTTTCTTTCTTTTTGGAGAGGTTTTTGCTATAAGGCACGTGCATTCGCCAGAAAGAGAGAGACATAGAGACAGAAAGCGAGAAATCACCCCCCGGGGGGATGGCCTCGCCTCAGTCCCTTCTCCTCCATTCTCCTCTCAGGATCTTGGGGATGCACGCACATGCGCCCGGCATGAGTTTAAGCCACTGGGTCTGGGACTCGAACCACAATTGACTACATGGGAGTCCAGCAGCGTAGCTCCTATACTGACTGCTGGTCCCTGCACCTGGCCTCTCTAACTCGCTGTTCTCACAGCGGCCATGGGCAATGGGCGCGGGCCTCAGAGAGTAGGGGCGAGAGCCCATGCCCTGCCAGCATCCGGGGACTGACTCTGTCGTGACCATCTCTGCGGACCACACCTGTGCGTCCAGGCAGTGAGACCCGGCCCTTGACCGAAGCCAGGGCTCCCCAGGAGTCTTCACCGGGACTCCTCCATCCTGCGGTGGCAGGCGGGGGTCAGCCTGTGAGGGACAGGCACGGTCAGGAAACCGCTGACGAGCATTCTTCTGGGAGAACGCTGACATTCCTTCCTGAAAGCGCCAGTCCTTCATCACTGACTCGTCTGTCCTGAAGCTGGGGACCCCTCCCCGGGACCTTCTCCTAGTGGCTTACGAATACTACAGGTTCTCAGGTGGAAGGCGAAGAGGAGGGGCGTCCAAAGCACATGAGAGTGAGGCCCCTCTGCTCCTGGAGGGAAGGCGTGCGCCTTCTCTGTCCCTCCGTGTGTGGAGCGTGGCTCAGGCTGACTGCCCTCGGGTTCCAGGGTCCGAGGAAACTCCCCTGGCTCTGGTGAAGCCCAGTTCCTACTTAGGCCCAGATCTGCCAGCCTCCAGCGGAAGCCAAACACACCAAGCTCTCTGCCCTGTGCCGCCGGAAACCTCCTACTCCCCCTCCTGGCGGGGCCAGGCCGCCCTTGGCCACTCCTGCCCAGCGTCGGGTTCCAGACCGGTGGCAAGCACAGCTATGCTCCCCGTGTCCTCAGAGCGCACACGGTCTGAGGCCTGAGTCACCAGCTCGGCCCCGCTTACGGCATCAGGATTGAGCCGGCATTTTAACTACCAGCTGCGTGTCCAGGCACCCAAGCCCAGCTCTCGAGGTTACACCCATGCCTTGTGGGGTCCCCTCGTGCACCTGCTGTTGACTCTAACAACAGACTGAAGACACAGAGGTCAGGGCGAGGCCCCAGGAGCCTGCCTCCTCCTCCGGGGTGGACCTCTGCCCCGCCCTGCAGCTCAGCTCTCTAGACCGGCCCCACAAGACAGTCTGGACAGGCAGGGGGAGCCAAGTCCTCCAGGAGCTGTCCAAGATCAGCCCGCTCCCAGGGCTGTCAGGTCAAGGGGGACAGTGCACCCTCCTAGCCAATCCTGCGTCCCTGTCCAAGCCACAGGCAGGCCATAGAACGCTGGCCACCCAGGGGCCCTGCCCTGATCTCTAGGAGGAGGGCGGGCTGGGGGAGCCTCATGACACACGTGGCTATTGCCAACTCTTTCTTTAATGTCTTAGCCCCTTGTAGGAGAGTGACCGCATGGGCCAAGATGACTCAGATCACGCCCAGCCAGATCCTGTCCTTGCTGAGGGGACAGCCCGGGAGGCCTGTGGTGTACGTGGCAGCCGCGAGGCTCACAGTGTCACGCTGCAGATGCGGGATGGCCCCAGAGTGGCCCCAGGGCAGTGGTCGTGCACATTTTCATGGCTGTGGTCTTGGGGACAGCCTTCGGGGAGATGTGGGAGAGGGGAAGGGGCCCAGGGGCTCAGTGACCGCGGACGCCGCTCAGAGCCCGGGACAGCGCTGTCCTGAGATGCCAGCATGGGCTGGGCTCCGGGGCATGTGCAGCCCTCAGGAGCTCCGCAAGACCCGAGGCCAACGACTGCAGACAGACAGCGCCCTCCTTCCAGACATGCCGTCAGGGAGTGGGCCGAGGGACACTGACTTCTCTCCCCTCCCTCGCTTTTCCTAAGTCGCCACGTCTAATCCCCTGCCTCTGTACATGGCGGGCGGCCTCGGACTTTGGGCTCTGCTGGCTGCTGGCCTGTGGTCCGAGTGCTGCCCCCACAGGACTAGGATGCAGAGAGGGCGGGCAGGGAGCAGGCCCCATCAGCCAGTTCCCCAGAGCAGCTGACGTTCCTGGTCCCAGGGCAGGGGGCAGGCTCCCGGACTGAGAGCCAGGGAAGAGGTCTCCAGGCCTCTTGCCTCTAGTCCTGGTGGGTTCCCGCACTCTCTCCCAGCACTGGCCTGGGCCCGGCCGGGCTGCGGCGCCTTCCCACCCTGCTCACCGGTGTGCTCGGTCTTGACGACAACGTTGTGCGCAGGCTGGAACACGTCGCTGCTGCACTGCCCTGGGAGGAGGCGAGGAGTCAGCCAGCGGCCGGCGGGGGTCAGCCGCACAGAGCTGGCCCTGGCGGGCGTGTGCCACCTGCTGCCCGGGCATCTGCTCACTGGCAGAGCGGGCTCCCCTGGGTCGAGAACCTGCCCAGAAAGCCTGGGCGGGGCTCTTACTCCGCGGGGCCACGTGCTGTGCGAGGGGGTCCAGAGTGGATGGACTCTGCCAGGCCCAGCGTCCCCACTGCCGAGCTGCCAGGCACCTCCCCTTTCTGGGCTCAGTCACGACCCGACTCTGTAGTCGCGTCAGACATGATGCACAGCGAGATCCAAAATACAGGAACCTTGCGCTGAGCGCCTTCCTCCCGCTCTGGGATTCCACGCCCGCCCGACGAGCTCTGGTCTGTGGGCCACGGGAATCCACAGGACGTCCCGTCCGCACGCACCTCGTCTGAGAGCATGCGCAGACCCATGCTCGGGAGCGTCTTCCCCTAGGTGGAGCACAGCCAGCTCCGGGGAGCGGAGGTCGCACCCCTGCTCAGCTCCGGAGACGCGTGCAGAGCGCCCATCTGAGCTCTCAGGTCAGTGCGTGCTGAGCGCCCGGGGCAGTGGACACCCGGCAACACAAAACGCAAGCCACAGGTGAGGGCGGGAGCCTGGTTGGACAGGAGAGGCCAGGCAGCAGGCCGGGAGGCCCGGCCATCAGGGAAGGTCAAAGGCGGAAGCACACAGTGGCGACGGCGCCTCCCCATCATCCAGCCTGTGGCACAGAGGGAAATACTCTGCATGCTCAAGGGTAAGTCTGCTCTGGGGTTCCTGGGGTTATGACAGAGCCAGTGGTCTGGCTCCAGTAAGAAGCTGTGAGCAGCCCCAGATACTGGAGGTGGATGGCGGAAGGCATGAGGGCTTCCTGAGCCAGTTCTGGGCCATGACAGAGTGGCCTCCCTGGGGAAGGGCTGGCTCATGACTCCCACCTTCTGCTGTCCAGGTGCCACAGCTCCCAGCGGGGCTGGATCCCTGGTAGGCCTACTGCACACGAGCCGCCTGCCCGCCAGTGGGCCTTACAGGGCAGCAGGGTGAGCGCCAGTGACCTGCGTCTGACGGACATCATGGGGCGGGGCTATGTGTTGCCAGCGGGGCTACGTGTTGCCGGCCGGGCCGCAGGAAGCCACATGGGCCTTGGGGCAGCAGCAGTCCCGGAGTCTGCAGGGCACCCCAGGCCCAGAGCAGCCCTGCCCCTTGCTCAAGAACCTGCTGAGCACCGTGAGCCCTCGTCCCCACACTGCACAGGTGCACGTCCCTGCCGCTCTCACCCCGGGGCGCAGGCCTGACCGTGCTGGCGGTGGGCCTTGGTGAACATGCTCCTGAGTGCGAGGGGGACGGGGCTGCCTGGGGCGCTCTGTGAGTTCCCAGCCGCCCGGCTCCTTGGAAAACCCGCACCAGGGTCCCAAGGATGCCTGTCATGCCTAGGCTCCGCTGTCCTCTCCCCCCTCCCAGTCCCTGCTCTGGGAAATGGCCACATGACCCTACCCAGGGAAGCCAGGTGGCAGCCGCCCGCCCCACCAGCCCGCAGGTGAGGGAGCGTCACCGTTCCACTTGAGCTGCTGCAGGCTGCTGTAGAGGAGCTGGCCCGCCGTGCCCGCCGCGCGTGTGAACTCTGGCCGGCTCACGCTGCATAGGGGCTCGCCGC